CCCCCACAGTCACCAGATCTCAACCCAATAGAGCATCTTTGGGATGTGGTGGAACGGGAGCTTCGTGCCCTGGATGTGCATCCCACAAATTTCCATCAACTGCAAGATGCTATCCTATCAATATAATAGCAAATAGCATAGTATGGTGTTTTTCATCCCGGTCTTCGGAGAATCCCAGACGGTCAGTGTTTTTGCACCCACTCAGCTCCCTGCCAGACGGTGCACATTTTTGCTCCCTCTCAGCTCCCTACTGGCAGCAAAAACACAGACCATCTGTGGGTCCTTGTGGACCGGGTTTAGATACACTGACATAGAAATCTACAACAGGTGATTTAATAGGGCAGGAACCTGACCTGGAATGTCCAAAGGTTGGAGGTTTGGTTGTCTTGTGACGTGGAAAGGCTGCTGTCCTGTTGTCTTACTGCTTTCCTGAACTGCAAATAGCACTTTAGCCTGCTGCTGACTCCTCTGTCTCCGCTGATGAAGGGCATCATTCTCACTTTCTGCTCTGCTCCAGTCGGGGTACTTTTCCAGCATGTTCAGCGGGTCCTGGAAGGAGTCCACAATGACGGTCATCGAGCTGGAGATTCCAGACCAGAACATCGACACAGAAGGTCAGATCCAGTGTTGGCGTCCTGGCTCCCTGGTGTACATATAGGCTGGTTTCCTTTCTGAAATTTTGTTTTTTAAATGAATGATTGTCCTCTGTGCAGCCCTGCAAGTGGCGTTCGGGTCTCTGTACCGCGACGATGTTCTCATCAAGCCCAGCCGGGTCGTCAGTATCCTGGCCGCGGCCTGCATGCTTCAGCTGGTCAGTTGCGTCGCGGTGATGGGTCGTTCTGCTTAATAGCACACATGGTCACCACCCCCCCCCCATCCCAACCAATCCCCTCACATGGTGGGCGGGTCTCCTCACGCTGTGGGCGGGTCTCCTCGCGCTGTGGGCGGGTCTCCTCGCGCTGTGGGCGGGTCTCCACTCGCTGTGGGTGGGTCTCCTCGCGCTGTGGGCGGGTCTCCTCGCGCTGTGGGCGGGTCTCCTCATGCTGTGGGCGGGTCTCCTCGCGCTGTGGGTGCTGATTTCCTCTCTGAACAGGACAGTCTGATCCAGCAGTGCGGAGAGACGATGAAGGAGACCATCAGTGCAAAGACTGTATGTCATTACCACTCCTCTGCCCGCTTGTACGGACTGGACTCTGTCACAAAGAAGTGAGTCCCAGCTCTTAGACGCCCCCTCCTGCATACAGGGGCATTGTGGCACTCAGTATTTTCATTTAAACACCTGGGGATGATCAGCTTTGATTATGTGAACAGTGGGTGATAAGTACAGCAGAAGCTGGAGGGATGGAGATGAGGTGATTTGGGGGGGAGGTCAGATTTCGAGGTCCTCTGATGCCATTTTGCCTTGTCCCAGGTGTCAGGAATGGCTCCTCAACAACCTAATGACCCAGCAGAACGTGGACCTCATGAAGGAGCTGAGGTGATTGTCCTGAGAAACTGGGTGAAGAGTGACCTCTGCTGGTTTTAGCACTGCTGGTTGGTAATAGAATGTTGGAGCACGCTGGTAAATTATATGGCAGACCTGAAATGTAAGGAATTGGTTTAATCATAAGGTTACATTGAGAGATGTGTTCGTCATGCGAGTGTGTGTGTGTGTGTGTGTGTGTGTGTGCGCACGCACACCAGATCTTCCCACAATGTAATAAAAACCTTTAAGTTTTTACCTTGTTGGGACATTTTTCTGGTCCCCACAAGGGGAAACTCAATTTTATAAAATCTGTGACTGCAATCGAAAAACAAAAAATGCCAAAAAACTTGTGTTTTGTCTGTTTACTTATGGTTTAGGTTTAGGCTGGGTAGGCTCTGTCTGTATGTGTCTCTGTCTGTCTCTGTCTGTGTGTGTCTCTGTCTGTGTGTGTGTCTCTGTCTTTCTGTCTGTCTCTGTCTGTCTGTGTGTCTGTCTGTGTGTGTGTCTCTGTCTCTGTCTGTGTGTTTCTGTCTGTCTCTGTCTGTGTGTCTGTCTGTGTGTGTGTCTCTGTCTCTGTCTGTGTGTTTCTGTCTGTCTCTGTCTGTGTGTCTGTCTGT